ATACGAACTAGATTTTCCGCCCAAAAATTCTTCTACTTTGAGTAGAGTTCGATGTTTTGTTACGTTTGGTATAGACATTTGCCAGGGTTCGGTGTGAGAGTTTCGAAAAATCGTGAGACCCCAAAAATCTGGTGTGATAGGTCTAATATACACCCCCCCTCCCTGGGGGAAATTGCTTTATGTGCACTATGAAGTGCCTTTCGAATCTTTTTGAATTTCTCGCTAACTCGCTAAATAGCTGCCATGCATATAATTAATGGTTTTGAAACTTCCTATCTCGCATTTGTTCGTAACTTGTGTCTGTCCGTCCATGACTACGTCTCTGTTGTCATTTGCATCTTGTGTTGGCCTCCCGTACAGTGAATACGGGTTTGGGCTGCATTAATATAACCTACTTTTAAATTATTCACATCGAGTTTCTTGGTCGTCATTGAATCAAAAGGTTAACGAGGCTGTGATTTTTTTTTTTGCAGAAATCGACTGTAAAATTTACGAAACACCCCCCAAGCCTTACTTGTAATGGTACTGAGGAGTTCCACGCGCTTTTAGCTGTGATATTTAAATGGTATTTCAAGAATAATATGCATTTCCTGTTAGGAATCGAAGTAACTGAAAGGTAACAATTTTTTTATATCGCTGAATAATGTCGTCGATGTTAGAACGAACTGAGACGGGTTAATTATCATCTTGTGCGGGCGTTACGCCTCGAGCAACTTACACGTAGGCGGTGAATTCAACAAGTTCGACGCATATGGAGTTTCTAGAATTGATCAAGAAGGAAAGAGAAACTGGCGCTGTGGTAGTCAAACCACTGTCTCTTTAAGTAGGCCAGAGTTGGACGTGCATCTGCCTCTTGTGAGGCATATCGGTGCTACTGACGTCATCCTGACACACGCGTGTTTCAAATGGAAAAGAATCCTGTCAACGTCTAATAGTGGGAAATTCATTCCCGAAATGATTAATACACCCAGAGCCACTTAGAGGCAGTGTGTTAGTGGTTCCTGTCAAGTACGACGGGGAAATCTAAAACAGTAAACACACGTGGTCATAAAATTCCCCCCCCTCCCGCAAGGCCCAAATCCCTCAAACGATCACCAACCATCGAAGCTACCAGCCAGCCAACGCTCGCATGTTACGTACGAGGCTCGTCCACAAAGTAAGTTTCCCTGGGGCCGTTTACAGAAACAAAACACAATTTCATGGAAATATTTATTGCAACAGATACAGCAAGTGTCCAGCTATTTTTCAACATATTCGCCACCGGAATTGAGACATTTGTCATACCGTGGGACCAACTTTTAATACCTGTGTCGTAGAAGTCTGCCGCCTGGGATTGGAACCACTGTGTGACAGCCATCTCCGCCTCTCTGTCATTCTCAAAACGCTGACGCTGACCGGACAGGAATTTCTTGAGGTGTAGGAAAAGATGGAAATCACTGGGAGCGAGGTCCGGGCTGTAGGGTGGATGATTAAACACCTCCCAGCTGAACTCCTGCAGGAGACTTGCTGTCCGTCGAGCCGTGTGCGGCCTAGCGTTATCACTGACCGCACTTCACAGTCGGCGGGAGCTGGAATAAGAACCTCCATCTTCAACAGCTGCAACGATGCTACTGTGAGAACGCGGGAAGTGCCGTTAGTGCATGAGCCATGCTACGTCATTGCTCTATCACGTAAGCACAGTCGCTTCGCGCAATATAAGGTTTGCTAGCTGTGGGACGAGTGGGAAACTTACTTTGAGGACGCGCCTCGTAGATGGGATTCCTCACACTGGTTTCATAGTTTTGAGGCACCCGGTATGAGGTTTGGTGTTACGCGGGAGGAGTGGGTGATAAGTTGTAAGCAACCGCGATAATTTGATATAATTGGCCGTGGCGCCCGCACGCGCCGTCTTTAGCCGGCGGGTGCTAACTTGATTCACTGCCATTTGTAAAAAAGTCTCGGCCAGGTTTTGCGTAGTGACCAATTTGCATTGCATTTGATTGAGGGGAGTCATTCCGTGGAATTGAACGGCTGTCGGGATAGGCGGGCCTGTGTTCTGACGTCTGTACCCCATTCGTAAGACTTGTAATCGTGGAAACTACTTCCAAAATCGTCGACCTTAATTCATCGCACTGTGGAGGTGTTTCCACCAGGAACATTCTGGGGTTGTCGTGATTGTATTTTGTACAGGGCTAGTGATAATTACTAACTTCATTGAGCAGAGTCATTCATTGAGAAACTCATCCCATTCTGCGAAACCTTCAGGTTCATTGTCATGTTCACAAGAGCCCGAGACCCGAGCCATCGAACTTTGAATTTGCCAGCGCGATTCGTAAAGGCTTGGCGAATGGACCAGAATTTGTGTGCTGTTCATACATTTCCTAACTTTCTTTTGTTTGGAAACAAGGCCATGGCTGTAATGGGGGTCAAGACTTGGGGTTTGAGAGTCTGGGTACTTGTGCTGACATGCTGAAACAAATAGAATACACCGAAAAACAATGGTGGTGTTTCGAAGTATGTAGACCTTCCTATTCTCACACTCCACTTCCTCATGAACCTTCTTAAAGGTCATGCCCCCGACAGCTCATCATCAGTCTTCTTCTCCCTCTTCTGGCACTGACTGCTTCACGGTGTCCCAGGTTTTGAATGCTCCATTGCTGTGTATTCTGAAATGTACAGTTAGAATGTCGGGGTTGCGTGGCTGTCGGCATTGTCCAATGGCAGATTTTACTTTAGCAGTTTTGAAAGGTCAGATTCTGTTAGTAGAGTTTAAATTTTCTAGCAGGTGGGGAAATTAATCCGAATAGTGTTGGTGATTTTATGCCAATATTAAATGGGGCAATTGTAATCAGAGGCAAATGTGGAGAACTTGCCAGAGATTCCAAATCCATTTCCATGGATTATTAGAGAAGCGTCCCAGATGGACGTCTATGATATGGACCAACCACTTTTGTTCTGGTGATGGCACTTTGCAGCACTGGCATGTGGTCGTATGAAATCTGAACAATTTGTTGTACATGATTTCCGAAAAAGCTTAATTTGATTCCCATACAATTTTGAAATGTACGTAGGGCGATAAAAGTAAAAGGTTACTATGTGGTCAACTTTGATGTTCTTTTAAGTAAGAATCTGTTGTGGTCCTTTTTCATTTTAATCGCAGCGTTAATAAATATAATACGCATGCCTGGACCAAAGAAACCAGCGTAAGATAATGGGGACACCCTCGGGAGCACATGGTACCATGCAGTGGTGGCAGAGTCAGTCGCAAGGCCCTGGGCCATTGCCCACTTTGCTACCACCTGTATCGTGCACTGCATAGAAAATATTTCTGCGTCATGATTAAGATACGCTGACTGTGGTGGTGTCTTCGTGTGATTAATTTTTATGCTAATGAGGTGATATTGTTTCAGGTGTCGCAGAATGGCATTGATGCCATGACGTACCTTGTGGACAGAATGGCTGTCGACTTTCGTCCTTACATCTCAACTGTTTTGCCACCTATTATTGACCGCCTGGGTGAGTCAGTGTCTGCGCGTCTGATCCCCTGGTTTGACGTAAAATACACGAGCTTTCACAAAAAATATTAGGATGACTTTGTGATTTTTACTGTTATAATTTTTTTTAGAATAGTCAGATTTCATGCCAGTTATGTGGGTCGTGTTTAATTTGTTTACGTGTCACCATTTAATACAGGTGCCTGAATGAAGTTGAAACTGGAATTGGCAGCTCAAATTAGTGTTACTTGGATACTTGGACGACCCGTTCTTCAAGTGCCTGAGCACTGCGGGTCCGAACTTTTTTGTTGGTTTTGATCTGTAGACGTTTTGGTAGGACTCCTTGGACGAGGGATCAAAGGGGAATATTCTTGCTTCTGATGATAAACATCAACCACTTGAGATATGTTCATAGCAGTGTGTGAACCACATTTAGGAAGGAGTTAGAATATTCCTCAGAATGTTTTTAAAATGTTTCATATTGTGAAAGAAAAGTCTAAAGCAGTGAATATGTAAGGGTAGGACTTTGTGATGAGGGGACAAAATTTGTTTTTCGTCCATGTAAAGAAGCTCATGCCCCCATTTTGGATATTCACCTTGAAGATATCCGTCTTCTGGGTTATTGCGCTGTGTAGTCTGGTCGATGTTAACCAACATTTCAGAGGTCATACTGCCTCCGTCATCAGGGCCCTGATGACGGAGGCAGTATGACCTCTGAAACGTTGGTTAACATCGACCAGACTACACAGCGCAACAACCCAGAAGACAGAAATCTTCATACTCATCGCCCTGATGACGAAGGCAGTAGGACCTCTGAAACGTTGGTTAACATCGACCAGACTACACAGCGCAATAACCCAGAAGACGGATATCTTCATACTCACCGCTGTGAGAACCTCAAGTCTTACGATATTCACCTTCTTTGTAATTTGGAGACCCTGGGTTTGAATCTTGGTTCCAGACCAGCTATACTAACTGATATCTGTAATATTTTCCTCAGTTTTATCCAAGTAAATACTGGAAAAAAAATTTAATATAGTTCTGTTTTCTCTCGTGTCCTAGACAAATTCATGTAAATATTTATTTGATGGTGTGTGATGTGTGTGGGTGATAATTTTATTTGGATGAGGACTAGGAGGAAACTTCACAAAATAATGTGCCCTTCTGATGGCTTATTTCTTACAGTAGCCCCTGTGTAAGAAAAAACGAGACATTATCGTACTGCATGAGTATTTGCCATTAGTAGCGGTAGTACCAAATTCTGCAGGTAGGTTGCTCTGCCAGCAATTGAAATGTGATTACACTGTGTTAGGTTATGGTAGGAGTGTGCGTTCATTAAAACAAGGGGAAGAAAAGGAAAGAGATGGAAGAATGAGAGCCCTATACCCCCCAGTGGTGGTTGGAAAATTAAGCGTTTAGGGACAGAGCCCCATTGTATGTGCATAAATGGTTGTTCAATTCTAGCTCAACCCAGTATGCAGAACGTATGAGGTCCTTATAATATTGGATGAAAGATGTACAGTTTTCTTTTGTGAAAAGGAATTTTTCTCTGTTTGATTGGCAGATACTTAAATAAATTCAATTTATTACATTTCATGAATGTATATGTTTAATAGGCAACCTACGATTTTGAAAATGGCGGAATATAAGTAGGAGTTTCGATGTAAAGAACTGTGTATGGATGTCTGTTTCTGTTCCTGACTTGGATTTTTGTGTTGGCAGGGGATAGTAAGGAGGTGGTGCGGGAAAAGGCACAGCTCCTGATTCTGAAGTTGATGGAACGGGATGTCATTACGCCTTCATCACTTTTTGAGAAGCTTACACCAGCCTTCTCTCACAAAAACGGCAAGATCCGAGAAGAGGTGATGAACTGCCTGCAGACCACACTAACAGAGTGAGTGACGTTGGTCATGAGCTGTATGTGGCGCTGTTCTGCGGTTTGGTTGTAAACTGTGCTGTGCTACATCGATTCCAAAGATTTCTCAAAGACTGTGTAACTAAAGGGAACAGTGAGTAACTTGCTGTTGTCAAAACAGCATGAACATGTATCTCTGGTCCGTATTCGGTCCATGGCCTCCTCCATTCGGTCCTCTGTTAGGTCCGTCTGTCCGAGGCTTTGATTGAGGTTTCGAAACATCTTCCTTTTTACGGTGCAAGGTTGTTAGCCTTGCGACCAACCCCCGACCTGGAGGACCAGGGTACCTGTCTTAGTCTGAGGTCACATTTATTAATGTTAATATGGTCTATTTCAGACACGGTGCACGGTCTTTGTCTGTCTCACGACTCATCCCCTCCATAGTGAAGCTGTTGGGTGATCCGATGTCTACAGTGCGCGATACAGCTTTCAACACGCTGGTGGAAGTGTACCGTCACGTTGGCGACAGACTGCGCATCGACCTGCAGAAAAAGCACAATCTTCCGGCGTCCAAGTACGTATCGCTCACATTGTAGGAAACTGTCGTGTGAATAGTTATGCAATTTTGGTCCTCGGAGATCAGAGGAAGTCTTTTGAATGTTCTGAAGTTGCGTTACTGCTGTGAGTAGATCACATCCAGGGATTTATTAACTACGGAGCAGTGCTTGGAGATTAGTCTGCTGCGATAAGCGTCTGAGATGGATATGTTGAGGGTGCGTGTAGTTTCCACATGAGTTTCTAGCTCATTATAAACTTCAAGTGGCGAGAAGAGGGGCGTAGTATGTGTGGAAAGAGAAGTCGTCTGTTTCACGAACTGCACACTATTGTTTTCTCAGTCTGTTTTCCAGTTGCAGACCTCTAGCAGTTGGACATTTTGCGCCTGTTCCCATTTTAATTACTTAATTTGTGTTTTCACATGACCTTTAATGACAGAAGCAATAAGTGTTTGTGATATGCACACACACACATGTTCAGGTAAACCTTCTTCTTCTTCTATGGCTCTGCGGTCCGTATTCGGTCCATGGCCTCCTCAATTCTCCTCTTCCATTCGGTCCTCTGTTAGGTCCGTCTGTCGGAGGCTTTGATCGAGGTCTCGAAACATCTTCCTTTTTACGGTGCAAGGTTGTTAGCCTTGCGACCAACCCCCAACCTGGAGGACCAGGGTACCTGTCTTAGTCTGACCTCTCCCCCTCGACCAATCTGGCTAGGGAGGCCCTACCAGTAGCTCTTGGGGTCACTGAGGTATTGCAAAAATGTATGTTCTTTAAAATTGTTATCTTATGTAAAGGTAACTGATAAGTTGTTATAATACAGACATAATTATTTTGTCGTAAAAATATGTACACCATTGAAATTATGGGGAGTACCTCGCCACTCGGATCCGACGTAATGGCGTGTGACGGCTGTGTTTTGCGTTGCGACTGACTCATTTGCCAGTAGTAAGTACTAGAAATGAAATGGGTTTTTTTTCCCCTTTATTGCTGTGCAAGGTCCTGTCATGTAATTTTTCTGTCGAGTGTTAAGATGAAACAGATCTTAAGGTTACTGATATTTTGAACACAAATTAATTAAAATGGGCGATTAAGGATATTTTTGATGATTTTAAAGATATTTGAGAAAGTTTTGCACTAATGTGATTGTTCCCGTACAGGACGACCGGGTAAAACTGTATTTACAGATATAGAAGACAAAAGTTGTAATATTACTGATGATTGTGCATAAATGTTCTTGCAGGTTGCCAGCTCTAATGGCGAGGTTCGATGAACTGCGAGCAGCTGGGGATCTACTGCCGTCAGCATCGGTTGCAGACGGTGAGTAATACACATCTTTTGTATAAAAAACTAGTAATTACAAGGAGATTTTTTGGTGGTTAAGTGGGTCATGGCATTTCTGCTGTGCAAGTACACTGTGTCGGTCGCCATCTTTATAGTACGTCAGTAGTGGCGATAGTGATACGGTATCAGTGTCATATTTTAAAGTTTCTTAACTTTACAGGCCTCCTGTCCAACGGGTACCGGGGTCCTATCCCGGGCGGGGCGTGATGCTGACCGCTCACCCCCATCTAGAGCCGAGGTCAAGAAAGAGTAGGAGCTATACCTCCGCCCCCACACTTTAACTTTACAGGGGGTTCTGAAAAGTTCTCCATCGGCTTGAATACATTCTCATGCTGCAGATATTTTTGGATATATGTAATATAGCAAAATTAATGATTTCTTTGTGTTCTTCTGTGTGTGGTTTTGTTTCATAGACGTTGTTTTTAAATATCCTCGCTGACTGGACGTAGCTGTCGCAAAAATTAGGTCTAGCTGCTTGATCACATGGTATTTAAAGGCTGTATTTTTAATAATGTTGCAGGCTTTTTTGATAATTCTGTCTCTTGTATAACGTACTTGAGAGGCTTTGCGAGGTGAACGTCAAAGCTGATCTCCGATGTCGTCCAACGTTTTTCTGAGATGTTTTTGTTTTCTGACTGTTGACACAGTAGTTTTCCTTTAGTAACAAGTTTTCTGTGTGGAAATTGAAGGCTTGGAAAGCCTGTTATGAATTTCCTGACTCTTCTTACTGTAATTTTAATATAAAACCACCTTCAGCGGTATAAACTTATCCCTGCCCTGCACAAAGGAAGTCTTGCGACATCGAGTCGCTCATAAATATTTGTACTTCCTCTTATCACTGCCGCAAACTTATCACTTATCATCGCATCTGATTGATTTGGAAAATCTGCCATTTATGTAGCGATCGTACATCGGCTTGGCTCCTGAAAACTCTCCCCATAGAAAGTTCCGCTTTCAGCGTATGCCAAGTCCCTCGATGTTGCTCACGTGCCCATACGTAGCGTAAACTTCGTATTTACGTCGACTAGTCCCTCTGACGAATTGAATTGATTTGGCTGATGATAGATTCAAAACTGGTTTCAGAGGAAATTTCTTCTCATTTTATTAATTCAAAAATAGGTTTGTTTGTTTGTTTGTTTGTAAGTAAATGTCATTATATAATTGGGGCATGGAACAAATGCTGGAATATGTTATACGATCCATGCAGTTTATTCGCATGTAAACTTCGTAAAAGTTAAGTACCAAAACGGAGGCGTCGTCTAGGTGCTTTTGTGTTCTGTATGCTTCTTTAACTGAAGTGTATTTCTGTTAGGTCTTAGATAGATAAGCTCGTACTGGCAGATAAGTTTAAATTGCTGTTGGCATAGGATTTAGCGATGACGTCATAAGATTGTGTGATTTTGTCATATTTATTTTGATGAGACATTGCCGTTATCAGACGCCTTTTGAATTCACTCAGTAATCCGCGTTGTTTCGTGTCCTCGTTCGTGATAATTTGGGCGCATGTAGATTTATCTCGGCAACTTGTGTTACGGCCTTCACGTCTAGGCGCATGTAGATTTATCTCGGCAACTTATGTCACGGCCTTCACATCTGCAAGCGCGGTAGGAAGTGGTGATTATGGGAAATGTAAATATTGACTTTTAATTTTATGACTCAAGAACCATAGCAGGCGGGCTACATTCCAGTCTCCAGAACTAATATCTGTTATTTGATCTAGAAGTTAAATTGGGGAACGGACAGACGGAAAGTCACATTCGTGCGTGTGCTCCCACATGTAGACCAAATGTTACCGTATGTACCGTTCCTTAGAAAGGCACGAACGCTTGCACGGGGTATTTGCTGCTGGAGTTGAATGCGACTGTCGCTTCTTGGCTCCCAGCTGGACCCGCATGACTTACTTGACTCATTTATTTTCATAAGATAGTGTAGTTGCGTCATATTGTGACTTATTAAATTAAAATTAAATTATTTGGTTTTACAACATGTTTCGGTTTTATTAAACCATCATCAGGTGTAAAATTATATTAAATTTAAAACTCAATTACAATTTTTTTACAATTTTTTCCAATTGTAAATCGATTATTCGATATGGAACACAGAATGATATTTTAATTATTTTAATTATCTTATTTTAAATACATTGTGATTTGACGGAATAACCGAATAATTTAATTTTAATTTTAATTTATTTTCGCTCTATTTTCTTTGACTTTGTAGTGAATGTCTCTTTGTGCGCTGGTGTATTTCATGCATCTCAAAAGGTGTCGTGGTGTACCGTGTAACGTCTGAGAAGTGGACTTACAAGGCGTAATTTGGAGGAGCATCCGTATGTGTGGTTCTTGATTGCGACGTCTCCTCCTAGACTTGCGGAGTTGCTGTTCATGTTTTTACTCATCTCTCAGACCCGTCC